AAACTTCAAGTTTTTTATAAAAATCCTTTAGAATCTTACTCGCAATTCCATTGGTCAATTTTAAGTGCGGCGGTCACATGACTTTTTTAAAATCGTCATATCTCAAAAAAGTAAGGGCACATTTAAGTGTATCAAAAAAGTAGGTGCAGGTGTATCAAAAATGAATGTTTTGCGCCTGTGCCCCTGTGCCCACAACCCTAGTGCTGAGCACTAGTAATAAACAGCACTCCCCTTATCGTTTGCTGAGAAAAACGATTAATCAGACATTCACAAGAACTACGTGGAATAATCGGGATAGAAATTTTCTTACTTTCGGAATATTGTGGAATGATGGCCAAAATTTTATCGGAATATTCTGGGTCGTCGAGTAGTATAAAATTTATATTTTGTAATCCCGCGCATCACGTGCGGGATTCCGCGCGGATCACGTGAGTGCCATCACTACGTCTTATATGATTAAGAAAAATTGATTACATTAATATACACTCAATGTATAAAGACTTAAATTTGTGATTCATCCAAGCTGGAGAGACAGAGATATATGATCGATCAAGAAGAAATAGAACGTTTCATCACTCATATAACAAATCAATCAAGAAATTCCATCGGTTTATTCGTTATGAATATTAGTTTTAAGGATGAGGCGGTGAATAAAGCAAAGAATTCGAATTCGAATTCAAAAGAAAGATTATTTTATGTACCAATTAAAATCTTTTGGAGGCAATGGAGCGATGCTGTGAAGATAAAAAGAAGGAAAATGATAATTCTTTAAATTTTGGTGACGTTATTATCGATGATCTAGAATTCACATATTAAATGAAAAAATGTATAGATTTATTTTTTAATGTGCATCATGGCGAATTTATGAAATTCGGTTCCAAATTTGAGTATTTTGTCATCAAATTTAAAATTTAGTTACAAAATTACATATTAATAAATCAATGCTAAACCCGAAAAAGTTTTTTGAACATCTGATCTTGATTGATAACGCATCTAACCCAGTGTTGTTCATGTACATGTACTATCTATCCATGGATCTATGTCCATGGACGGTCCATGTTATGTCCATTTCCATGAAAAACACTGATCCAACCCATCTTTCCCACGTGCTTAGGGTTGTTAATGGAGTGGAGTGGAGTGGGGGGTTGGGTTAAAATCAGATGGAGCAAGCCTTACTCCAACCCAACCCGGGTTATATTTCAAATTAACGCTCCGGATTGAACTCCAGGTTGTACTCCAGGTTGTACTCCAGGTTGTGCTCCGGGTTAATGCTCCGGGTTATAAGAATAATTTTGCTCCAGACCATTCCATATGGAGCAACCGGGTTTTGCTCCAGACCCCAACAGAGCGACCGTTCAAATTCGTAGATTATTCCGATATAGTTACACAATTGATAAATCATTTTTTTATACGTTTTACAATACTTCTTTTAAAAGCTCGGGTAGCTTAACTTTCTATGAAACGAGAGTAAATTTAACGGATGAATTCATGCCTTCGCTTCGCCTTATAACATATTCTTTGAATCCCCGTGAATCCCACTGCTTTTTTTTTACAATCTGATCAGATCACCATTACAATTTTATATGAGTACCGCCAAGGGAAAACCTGTCATTAGGCTTTCAATTCTATTTCGTACCGGATACAATTCCTAATAAATTATACTATATCTGGTACAAATATCATTGAAAGCCTGATGACAGGTTTTCCCTTGATTGCACTTATATAAAATCGCCTATCCTAGCTTTCCGAATGATATTACTAAGCTTCCTATTATATTTGGATAATAAATAGATTTGCAATGTGTTTAAAAGAACTTTAATGCACTTACCAAAGAAAAAAGCTGTAAGAAACAAATAACCTGCTCATGACAATAACATGAAGTTAAATTCTAATGCGACTGGCCATTTCAAATGATCGATGAAAATTCAGAGCAACCCGGGTTATAAGAAAAATTTTGCTCCAGGTCACTCCATATGGAGCAACCCGATGGAGCAACCCAGATTTTGCTCCATATGGAGCAACTCCAGGTCACTCCATATGTGGAGTAACTTGGGTTATAAGAAATAACTTTGCTCCGGGTTACTATTAGTGAATTGACTCGACAAAAAAATCATTGCTCGATGATTGACCAAAAAAAAATTTGCTTAATCGATCAAAAATCAATTATATAAACTTGATCGAGTATGATCGATCAAGCATATAATTTATAAGCTCGAGTATATATAATCGATCAATTATCAGGTCAATAATTGATCGATCATATCTTATCTACTAAAAAAAATTTAAAAATAATGATGTATTCTATAAAATTTTCTTGATCGATCAAATTCAACTATCTGATCGATCAAACATTATTGATCAATAAGTTTATGCTCGACTATTGACTCAACTCGATCAATAATCGATCATGATATAGTCGAGTCAATTCACTAGTTACTATATAATTCTTAAAACCTCAACCCACTCCAATCTTAAAATGGAGTACGTTGCACCATTAACAACCCTACACGTGCTAACCCATCTTCTCCACCTTTGACATATCTTGATTAGGCATAGAAATTTATTATAATGACGCAGCCTCACTTCAGGTATTGATCGTTTGGCCGGCATTAACTGATCGACATTAATTGGCCTAAACTATAGCCTAATCTTTACCCTAACTCTAACTCTAATTCAGGCCGATCGACACCTGAGGCAAGAATTAATCGGAGGCACAACATATGTACAGTCAACTCTATCTATTCCGAACCGTCCGTTCTTATATGTAAAATTGGTTAAAAAGTTCGGTTCTCAAAGAGTTATTATTAGTTAATCCGAACTCTATAATAAAATTTACAAATGTTCTAGAGTTTTTCGTTCAGATTAGAGAGAATTTAATAGTGTTCGGATTAGAGAGGTTCGGATTAGAGAGAGTTGACTGTATACACTGTTTATTAGTTTGTCTAATATTTTTACGTTTTTAAATAAATATAAATAAGGGATCGTGTTTATTTTTATTGCACATAGGAAGCTTCAGTGACATGGACATGGACTGTCTATGTCCACATGTTCATAGACATGTCCATGAACAACACTGGGAAGCTTCACCACTAGTTAAGATTATGTTTTATTTCGTTATGTAATGAAAAGATCCCAATTTTACGGTTTTTCTATTCGTGCATTTGTTTTCCCATGGAGATAGCAGAATCAGAAATCATATAATTTATAATAATTGCCGTTTTTTGTAGATTCTGATTCTTTTTGTGACAACAAACTCGAAGTATTTATTTCTACATTGACAGATTTTATATAAATTAATATGTGATGCTTATTTTTCACAATTCCGCAAGAAATTTACGCTAGGTTTTGCCGATCATTCGTCTCGATTGATCGATATCGGTCTGCGTTAGGTTGGTTAAAAGAATGAATTTTTTAATTTGTCGATTATTGCAATAGAATGCATCTAATGCATGAACGTTTTGAACTTATTCTTTAATTCGATAACAAAACTAAAGTCGTGGATTCGCGCGTAGGCATACGTCATATGCGTTTCAGTGGTCACGGGCAGATAATCATAACCATACCGATAAGGGTGTGGGAGCGCAACAAAATTCAGTGGATCGAGCAAAATTTAGGGTTGGAATAGGCCGGAGTTGGGTCAGCATTGAGCAATAATACCAGGCCTACCGAAGAATTGATCTTAGGAGCAATTAATTGCAATTTTTCGAACCCAATTAATTGATTGGTGGCGTAGTCACAATTGGCCAATTAATTGCAATTTTACGTATATAATTGGATTTCATATCATATATTCGCCATTAATATTATTATTTATAATAAATACATGTGATTTTTGATTTTTCGCTCTTTAAAAATCGAGTTACATCAGACAGAGCTTTACGCAGAAAATTGAATTTAATTGCAATTAATTGCAATTATTTCGTCATTAATTGGGTTTCAATTAATTTCATGATAATTTTAATTGATTTTAATTGTATGATGCATGACAAAAATTGATTGCAATTAATTTTTCGGTAGGCCTGAATAATACCAAACATATAGCAAAACCAGCATCTAGTACACGGGCTATCGCTTTATTAATAACGATAAATTTTGTAAATTCCTGTCTATTCCGATCTTGAATTTTAGTTGATCTGCTGGATTTTGGTTGCGCGACTAATCTATCCAAAAACTAGTCGTGCATACTTGTATAGTATTCTAATTTCTAACTTTATCCTAAATTCTAATCCTAAAGTAAAAAACAAAACATATTGATGAATTTCACCAATGATTTCTAATCAATATTTATTTTTTGATAATAGTGAATTTTGTTCCAAAAATTGACCTTGTCAGATTATGAAATCAAAAATTAATTTTATGTAAAATACTTTTTGAATTGTAAAATTCAGCTTCTACCAAGATTGAATATATATATATATATACACTAATGACTAAACAAACAACACTTTTTTTCTATACAAACAAAACTTAAGATACATTCAACTAAAACTACATATTAGTAATTACATTAGCTAACAAATACATTAGATCCCATTCCTAACAGTACAAAGTCATAGGTAAGGATTCCAAAAGCCATTAAAATAGCAATTGTTCCTCCAAATTTCGCAATCAAAATCCCATGTTTTGATGATAATCCTGGGAAAGCCTTAAACGGTTCAATATACCTAGCAAGTTCTGCTTCGTTAAAACTTGAACTCGTTTTTTCTTCATACATAGATAGAGGTGATGGCGGACATGTTATACTAGAATGGCAAGAATGAATTGATAAATTGTTTGGCGAATTGTCATTTATGTCATTATCACATGATTCATCACTAATTGTAATTGCTGGTGTTGTCACAATCGTTAGTCGAGATGTAGATTTCCGACGACTAAAAGTGGTACGAGCTATGAGAGAAAGTGGAGCCGATAAATGATATCCTTTAGCATCAGATTCGGTTGCCATAGATGTCATGTGACCTGGTGGTGAACATGACAAGTCACGATCACGATTTTCAACGTCAGAATGAGGTGATGGCACACTTAAAAAAGTTGGCGAATCAGTTAATTTTTGATTATTAGATAATGAATCCGTATTGATTACAATAACATCAATATGCCTATCAGGTGAATGCACTTGATGTACTTCGATGTTATCAACGCCAATTTTAGAACTACTTCTTGAAAGACTACGTGATCTACTTGGTGAGCAAGAACGCCTACGTCTTGGAGTACTTGGCGTATGTGGAGCAAGATGAATGCTATCATGACTATGATTATCGAGTGGTTTAAGACCCGGAGATGGTGGACTAACAACAATCGGAAGCGGTGGATGTTCATCAGCTATAAATGCACTTTTTATTGAGATATCAGACATTGATGATAACTTTCGTCTAAGTTTTTCTGGAGTTGGTATTGCTACAATGGAAATTAATGTTAAATTTGAATGTTTAAATTGAGAATGGCAAATATCCAATATGAAATGTTTTAATTAAATCTTATATACCTGATTTAACCAAATCAACCTTTTTAACAGATTTTTGAGTTTCACTCAAATAATATAGCCAAAATGGAAGAATAAAATTGCTAATAGTTGAAAATATTAAACTCGTCCAATTCATAAATGAATTGAGCCAAAATCCTGTTTGGAATGGAAGGATAATAATCCATGGCAACACGCTGGATAATAATATAGAAGTTCCTGATATCAAAATTAATCAAATACAAAAGGTCAATAATAAAAATTAATAAATCATAATATTTTTTTTTACTTAAGATGTATAAATATATTAAATTACGAAAATTATGAACATACTTTTACTGAAATTATTATGATTCATCAAATTAAGGCGCACAATAATCGTATATACTGGAACACTTGTTATCAATGCAGCTACAGGAAACAAGTATGTTGTAATAAGATTGATCACAGTGCGTTCATTAGATTTGTTAATTACGGCAATAATGTTTGATGATGCACTCATCGCGTATGCCATCCCTCCCAAGACACCCAATGAAACATAAGCAATGGTGGATATAATAATAGAGTAAAATACAGATTTTCGGATTGAAATACTTTGATCCTATATATTAAATAAATATTATATTAAATAAATATTAATAGTTATAATTGTAATTAAAGTGGAGTTATGTAAAAAAGTTACAAACCGATTCATTAATCCAACTTGGTACAGTAGTTATGAACGCATAATTGTATAGGACGGTTCCAACTACTTGGCTTTGATCACTACCAAGAAACGGAACAAGGTCTTGTTGGAGTCCATGAACAATGAAAGTAATAATCCAAGTTACTATTATAAGGATCAACATAACGAAAGATACTGATAATAAAAAAAAACCAATAAAATATATTAATATGTAAATAATAAACATAATAATGATTTTTATAGCAAAGTCATAACGCACCAACTTGCACTTTAATATTATCAACAAGATCCATAACTCCTAGAGGAACAACGGTTACCAGAGTAATCTAGGGTAATGAGAATTAATTTGAATGTATAAAACGAACGATATAAAAATAAAATGAAATGAAATAAAATATAATATAATAAAATAAAATATACTAACAAAGTAACCGACAGTTAAAAGCATATAACTAGTTCCGAAAGGACTTCCTGTGGCACTTTGTTCTGACACACAAAAGACACCTTGTGTTGGATAAATTCCAATTCCACAAGTTTTTCCAAACACCGAGATCGTCAAAGAATCCATAGTTTGAGAAGATATTATAATTGATGAAATGACCAAGGATTCGAATGTCACAAAAAGAACAAATTGAATAGCGCGACGTTGATATTTATTAGTTATCAACGTTGAGGCAAGGCGAGTAAATTCGATCTTTTTCTAATTAACATGAATCGTTAATAAACTATTAAGCGCGACATAAAAAATCGAAATAAGATCAAATCAACCTGGAATCTTTCGTTTTCAGGTTGAGCACTCAATGATTCGCACAAAAGTAGAGAAGCAGCACCGCTTAACAAAGTCGCGATGATGAAAGCAAGAAGTGGTCTGATAAAAATCGAAAGTGAAAAAGATAAGTGTCATGCAATAAAAAGCAATTTCAAAATGTTCATATAAGAATCGAAACATACATAAACCATCCAGCAGTCTGAAAAAGTAATGGAACT